GCTGGAGTATTGTGTCCAGTTCTGGGCACCGCATTTCAAGAAAGATGTGGAGAAATTGGAAAGGGTCCAGAGAAGAGCAACAAGAATGATTAAAGGTCTGGAGAACATGACCTATGAAGGAAGGCTGAAAGAATTGGGTTTGTTTAGTTTGGAAAAGAGAAGACTGAGAGGGGACATGATAGCAGTTTTCAGGTATCTAAAAGGGTGTCATAAGGAGGAGGGAGAAAACAATGGGCTTAAACTGCAGCAAGGGAGGTCTAGGTTGGACATTAGGAAAAAGTTCCTAACTGTCAGGGTGGTTAAACACTGGAATAAATTGCCTAGGGAGGTTGTGGAATCTCCATCTCTGGAGATATTTAAGAGTAGGTTAGATAAATGTCTATCAGGGATGGTCTAGACAGTATTTGGTCCTGCCATGCGGGCAGGGGACTGGACTCGATGACCTCTTGAGGTCCCTTCCAGTCCTAGAATCTATGAATTACCTTGTTTCTAAACTACTACCAGTTCACTCCAGTGATAAATAATCAGTTTCATGTTTTTGCACCTGGTTTCTGTGAGCAACACTTACTTACATGGGTAATTTAACAGTTGTTCAGATATTTTATTACTAAATGTTAAGCTCTAATGCAGGGGTGGCCAAACTTACTGACCCTCCAGGCCACATAGGACAATCTTCAGAAGTTCAAGAGTCAGGGAGCAGCTGCTGGGGCTCGGGGCTTCAGTCCCACAGGAGGCACCTGCCGGGACTCAGGGCTTTAGCCCTGTAGGGAGGGGGATTTCAGGTCTTTAGCCCTGTGGAAGGTGCCTGCTTGGGGCTTCAGCCCCACTCCCGCTGAAGTCCTGAGCCCCAGCAGGCATGCCTTGAGGGGCTGAAGCCCTGAGTCCCTTTTCCACTGGGCAGAAGTGATGCGTGGGGGGAGGCATGTGGGGTCACGTTCCCTCCTGATTTTTGCCAGGGTTTTCTAGCCTCGCTTGGTCACACAGTGCAATTTGGTCCCCCACTGCAGCTGCTGGAGCCAGCATGTTGGGAGCTGCAGCTATGGGGAGAGGCAGCAGCTATCCCTGCAGCCTCTCCCCAAGAAGCTAAAGGGGGGGCACAATTTAAAGGTTCACCTCCAACAGCTTAAGTCATGCCCTCCCAGGCACACACACCCTCTTACTCTCAGTAGCCCCTCCCTGCAGGACCCAGGTGTTCGTTCTGTGTGGAGAGGCCGTGGCAAACAGATAGGAGCTGCAGGGAGGGGCCGCTGCTCTCAGCAGGCACCAGTTGTCTCTGGCAGAAGCCCCCACTGTAGGGGGGCAGAAGCCCTGAGCTTCCTGCCCCTCCAGTCTGGTAGGTAGAGAATGGGGGGGAACGTGGGGGGCTTGAACTGTAAAAGAGCTGCATGCAGCTCACGAGCTGTGGTTTGGCCACCCCACTCTATTATACCATTAGCAACTGATTGTGCAGTTAGAACAGTTTGACCACCAGTGGGTATGCAAACCAAGATAAAGATGTCACTCTTATGTTTGCAGAACTGTGTGTGTGTGGGGGGGAAAGGTAGATATTTTAATGTGTTGATCCTGTGAGAAATCCCTGTTATAAAAATCACATCTTTATGAGGTATATTCAGCTATCTCAATGTTTTTAAAATGGTGAGTGGCAAGTAGGGTGATCAGATGTCCCGATTTTATAGGGATAGTCCTGATATGCGGGGCTTTGTCTTATATAGGTGCCTATTACACCCACCACCACCACTCCTTGTCCCGATTTTCCACATTTGCTATCTGGTCACCCCTGTGGCAAGACACCAAATGACCAGAGTGGGCCAAATTTTGCTTCTTCCTTTGCAATTACATTGGTCCATTCATTACTGAAAGGGGTTTTTTTCAGTCTGCTTGCTGCACAGGAGTTGTATAAAGGCCTGAGCCTTACTCGAGTAATTGATCCCAGGTAAGTCACGTGTGAAAGGGGTTGCAGAACTGGGGTTTTTAGTCCACTGGTTGAAATAGCTAGAAAATGCGGGTTGAAAATGGGGATCTATTAAGAGCAGACTACAACTCAAATCAGCTTGTCCCCACTGCACATCCCCTTCTTACTGGAAAGGGAAGAGGAAAGGTCCTGAACCAGGAAATGACCAGGTTCTATTTGAAAACAGTGGCTGCATGGCTAGCCTGGCACTGCAGAGAAGCAGCCCCAGGAACTGTGTACAGAGCCACATGCAGAACAGACTGTGACTGCCAGATATCACACTGGATGCAGCTGTGTGTGGGACTGATGGGGGGGAACAGCAGCAACTGGGCAGGGAGCCAGTGCAGAGGGGCCCCCAATCAGAGAGACACTGCTAACTGATCCTCGCCTGGAAACCTGTAAGCCCCTATTTGCTTGAATAGAGACTGGACTGGAGAGGGCATCCCAGGCACTAGGCCTGAAGAGCCCCAACTCTCCATTGGGCTGCCCCACTTTGAACTGTAACTTTTTAAGCCTCTGTACTCTGTTTTGCACCCTTTCCCTTTCCTGCCAGCCCTGGAACAGTACCTTTCACTAGGGCTAATGCCTACGAAGTCTAGCTGCTGAAGCACATACAGTATTTGCCTCCAAGTCACTGACATGTTACTGGCACCTTTGGGGCTTGATGTACTCCAGCACTGATCAGCCCCCATAATAACAGAATGCATAAGAATGGACAATAAAAATGTGGTAGTGAGGCCACGTAGGGTTGCCAACTTTCTAATTACACAAAGCCAAACACCCTTGCCCTGCCCCTTCTCTGAGGCCCTCCCCCAACCTCACTCACTTTCGCCAAGCTGGGGCAGGGGTTTGGGGTGGGGGTGCGGGCTCCATCCGGGTGGTGCTTACCTCAGGCAGCTCCCGGTTGGTGGCGCAGCGAGGCTAAGGCAGGCTCCCTGCCTGCCCTGGCTCCACACTGCTCCCGGAATCGGCCAGCATGTCCAGCCCCTAGGTGGAAGCTTGGCCAAGCGGCTTTGCATGGTGAGCGCTGCCCACCCCCACAGGTGCCGCTCCCACTTGCCATGGTTCACGGCCAATGGGAGCTGTGGAGCTGGCGCTGGAGGCAGGGGCAACACGCAGAGCTTCCCTGATCGCCTCTGCGCCTAGGGGCTGGACATGCTGGCCGCTTCGGGGAGCTACGCAGAGCCAGGGCAAGCAGGGCCTACCTTAGCCCTGCTTTGCCGCTGACTGGCGCCGCCAGGGTCCCTTTTCGACCGGGCATTCCTGTTGAAAACTGGATGCATGGCAACCCTAGTGCCATGTGTGACATGCCCCCACCTCCTCTGTGCCCTCTTGGGGGTGATTTGCATGCTGAGGGGGGGGAAAGAGGAAGCAGTGCCTGTGCACCCCTTAGTACAAGGATTGCAATTGTCCCAAACACTTGTGGGAAGTTTCAAGGGTGGAGTAAACCCTCCCCACTACACCCCTAGGTTATAGCCAGGAACAGTTTGGCTCTAAACTAGACAAACACTGAACATGAAGATAACAAACAAAAGAAACTGTTAGGAAAAGGGGGGACAATGGTTAAAGCAAATAAAAATAATGTGATTTATATGAGGTAGAGTGTCTCATTCAAATCATTCTTAAAAACTGACTTCTGAAGATAACAAAAATTGAGTATTTCCACTTAAAAACAAACAACAACCCCCCCGTGCTTTTGACCCATCAAGAATTATATATATCTTAACTCAGTGACTATGCATGCTCATTTCTGTAACTCATGTACTTTTTCCTCCTTCTCCTTCCTAGTGATTTTAAATCCTCATATGTCTCTCATGGTCATCATTTTAGTTCCAATAAGGCAAACACTTACACACATGCTTAACTTTACTCACATGAGTAGTCACATTGAAGTCAGGGCCTTCGATTGTAAGCTCTTCGGGGCAGGGATGTGTTTTCTGTGTATTTTCTATGAAGCACATAGCTGTCACTGCAAATACTAATCAATAATAATATAGAAAATCGTATAAACTTGAATCTTTTAAATTAGAGACAGATAGCACAGGAAGTGGGGTTTATGGGGGGACTTGAATGAGAGCAGGGATGTTTGGCAGAGAGGAATAGAGTTGACTTTCCAACGATACAGAAGAGTACCAAAAAAAGACACCCAGGTGAGAGTGGGAGGAAGGAAAGGATGGTGAGAGGAGTAGGCAGGATGAAAGGACAAAGGGCTAGATTCAAAGCCACCGAAGTCAGTGGAAGTATTTCATTGACTTCAGTGGGCTTTGGATCTGGTCCATAATGATGAATGATAGGAAATATGAGAAATGTTGTAGGCTGGGGCAAACCAGCACGTAGTCTTGAAAGTTATGACAAGGAGTTTGAATTTTATGTGGGACGAGATCCTGAGCCAGTGGAGAGACTCAAGGAGGGAGAGGTGTGACCTGGCCAAAATGGTTGCAGGGGAGCATTTTTTAGCTATTGAATGCTGGATGAAATTAAGAGATGTTTTAGACGGGCTCAGCTACTACAGGGATGGCGCTAATTGGTCTGATCCTACACCCACTAAAGTCAAAGCAACACCCCCATTAACTTCAGTGGGTGTAATATCAAGCCTTATATGAGAAGGTGGGGTGTAATAAGGTACTTTTTTCCAAGAACTAAGCAAAAACTGAGTAAGGATATTAGAATTTGGCCCAAAATAATATCTGTTTAATCTATCTAGCATTCTTATTGAAATTGAGGGAATTTTGGGTGTGCTTGGAAATAGACTCAAGCCCATAGTCTGTAAAGTATTTTGGGATCCTGCTGGATGAAAAGCATTATTTTTGGTCTAAAAGAAGTTTAAAAATATGGGGCCGAATCCTGCAGCCAAAGCTAGGCACAAGTCACAGTAGGCTTAATGGGAGTTTTGTTTGAGTAAGGACTGCAGGACCAAGCCCTGTATTTTTAGAAGATGATAAATACTTTGATTTAAACTTTTCAGTGGATGTCAGTTTAATTTTGAATGCAGCATTACGATAAATAGTTTAATTCACATGTTCTAAAAGTGACCTCTTTCCTTTTCCAGAGACGTCAGTTATTGCTCAGCCCATATTTGTTTTTGAAAAGAAAGAACGACCTTTCAAGGTAACACTTAAGCTTCTTCCTTTTGCTTTGGTCATAAAGCAGCCAGAAAATCAGGAAATAAAGGGCCTGATCGTGGAGCCTGGACTTCACGAGGGGGAAGCGTTTCACAGCCCGGGTGCCAGCTTGAGCCCAAACATCTACACTGCAATTTTATAGCCCCGCAGCCTGAGTCCCACGAGCCTGGGTCGGGTGACACTGCAGTGTAGACATACCCATTGACACATTTTGTTTTGTTTTTTCCCAGAGGCCTGCAGAAGACCTGGTTTGCAAGGCTGAAAATGGTAATAATTGCATAATTAAAACCCTTTATAATAAACTTGCTATAAAGGGTATATTACTAAATGGAGTATTTTTAAGTCCTGAGTCCATTGCATGCATTAGTAGTGATTCGAATTTCACTTTGTATGTAACAAGTCAATTTGTCGTGGGTGGATTAAGACTATATATAGGGTACAGAGTCGCCACTTTTGTCCTCCTTTGTCACGCACACACCCCAATCCAAATTTCAGCTCCCCTGCAGCACTCACACAAGTGTTACCTTTTGAATGATCTCTTCACTTCCTTCAGGTCTTGTTATAACGTGACCCCATACATGGAAGTGTACTGTGAATCCAGAGTCCTGTTTCAGCCGTCTCTTTAAAATCAGCTGAGTGCCATACAGCCTGCTGCATAGTGAAAAAAAAGCCTGATCCAAAGACCAGTGAAGTCAGTGGGAGTGGAATTGATCTCAATGGGCTTTGGATCAGGCCTTTAATGAGGCATCAAGAGCCCCTTCCATGAGTAGATTCTGCTAGAGCCCTGCAACCTGACCAAACCCAATGGGATCCAACTACAAGTATCGGATTTGGGTCAGGTTGCATCTAAAAACAGCCCAAAACCTCTCAGGTCATGTTGGGTCTAGTCATCTCTGAGCACCTCCTCCTGTCCATGAGGTCAGCACAGTGGCTGCTGCCACTGAGTTGCAGTGCCTCTCACTCTGCAGCACACACAGCACAGCAAGGCAGCGGTGGCCAGCAGGATCAGGCATGCAGCCCCCACTGCACTGACCCCATGGGCAGGCGGCAGCTGGAGACGATTTGCAGGCAAGGGATGTGGGGAATGGGAAGCCCCCAGCAGGCCGAGCCCCAAGGACGAGGCAGTCACACTGACTCAGATTCGGGGAAAGTGTTGGGTTGAGTTGCATCTAAAAATGACTTAATACTCTTGGGTTAGTTTGGGTTGTCTGTACTCAGGTCAGGTCCAGGCCAGGCTTTAATTTTAGACCTTTAATATTAGAATTCTGTACTGCAATAATTTACTGAAATCTGTTGGAAAATTTGATTTTACAGTACATGATATGTTATGTGTCTCTTAGATTTCATTGGTTGTTCCAGGAAACGGGCAAGGTCTTCATCTTTTACTTTCCAAACGTCCGACTCGCAGTTCTACATGGGTATGTCATTTAGCTCAATTTGGTTATAATTGTAATTATATTTTATAAATTGATAAGCTAGAAAAAATATTTTCCTCATTATTCAGATACACATTTTGGTTAGAATAATTCTAAGTCAGCAAAACTTTTAAACTTTGAAGTTAGTCTGCAAGTAATTCTCAGTGAGGAACTTGCTCCTTCCTAAGTCTGAAAAAATATTGGTTTTAAATTAACAGAGGGACCCCGGTCCATACGTGAGTTATTTCCACATAAGGCAGTGGAAGGTCCATGTGTTTCAATTATGAGTTTCCCTGGAATCTTTTGACTAGGTCAAGGGAAGGATTTCTTACCCTGTGGAAGATGTTCATTGTTCAACCCCATAAGCCCAGGGGGACCCATGGAATTGAGAAGCCATGCTGATAAGGGCTTTCCCCTCCAACTAGTTATCATCTGACTTGGAAACCCCTTCAAGGTGGTGGGGTTATTTCCACAATATTGAGGGAACACACACACAAGTCACTGCAGACCACTATGTACTGAGCATGTGCAGTAGAAATTCTATTTTAAAGTGTGTCGTTATTATAATGATGGGGCCATATGCTTTCCTCAAAATTTGGGCCTTAATATAGGTAAATAATATTTTGTTTCACCCAGCCGTTGATAAACTTAACCCATTTAGTTAAAAGGGTCAAATTAACCTAACTTTATCTACCCTTAAAATCATACCTAGATCATTCCTACATCTACTTAGACCTGAACAGCTCCATACAAAAAAAAAAAAAAAAAAGACTGGTAGTCTCAGACTTTTGCTATAATAACAAAAGGGTTATTAGGCTGTACCTGTACTATATTTTTCCTACCTTTGTGTTCAGTATCATTGGTGGTAGCAACAATAGGAGTACCAGTGTAGACTAACCTCTTGGCACTTGAACCACCATGACATCTAGCCCTAATCTGAGAAAGTCTAGATGATGGTATGGTCAAAAATGTTGGCAGCTGGCAGCTCTTTCTCTATGCTGAAACTGCACTAGTACTAGCAATGGTTGGAAATTCAAAGTCTACGCTACAAAGCCTTAATAGTTGCCCGATACAGGTAGATTCTGCTCATCCATGACAAATACATTTTGCTAACATGAAAAATCCATATTCAGGTACTGTGCTTTGAACTAAGGATAATTTCAGTCTCTTATGTTTTCAGATACCGCACTCTCTCAGAAAAGAGTGAGATCATCTTCCTGTACCATCCTTCCGACCTTTCCTCCATCACAGCCAGGTAATTAAAAATATTATTCAGTAAATATTCACTTAAACCAAAAATCAGTAAAATAACAAAATAAAACTGCTATTTCTGTGGGACTGAGCTAACTGGGCTGGGCCAAGTCAGTATGTGAATGAGAGAAAGGAACTTCGCGATGTTCAGCAAGCCGTGTTGGTGATTCAGTAGATGGCACTCATTTCTCAGTCAATGTCGCACTAATATCTCCTTGTGCTAGGGAATACTCTGCGCATGAGAGAGCTGCTGTTTGGATGGGATGCAAGCAGCCTATGCCATATGCCGCACTGGGTTGTGCAGAGTCTATTCACTGTTGCAACTCAGATGTTTTTGAGATTTACAAAGGCTTGTAGCAAGTAGGTGGACGGTTATAGTAACCTATAAAATATTATGTCAAATATTATGGACAGTAAACACGGAATGGAGTTGAAGAAATGGTGTGAGCGAGATATGTTTGGACTAAAACAGTGATTCGCATATTCAGTGACACCATTTTCCATACTGGGAACACTCTCCATTGCCAAGATTTAGCAGGGATCACTCTCCCATTTATCCATAAGGGAAGTGCAGGGTGGTCACAAACCATGACACCTGTTTATGACTCCCACATTGAAAACCTTTGGATTAAAAAAATTGTTGATTAGGGGTTTCTAAATAATCTGGTAAGGGTACAAAATTGATATAGCAACAAACCAGAATCATCTTGGAATGGAATGGAGGAGTTCATATATGGATTATGAGACATGTAATTTTATAGCACGCTATTGATGGGACAAGGCTGGCAGCTCTTCTGAACATTTCTTGGTAGCATTTGGAAACCATATAAAAGCAGCAGCAGCAGCAGTGCCACACACTGACCATCATTACAGTTATCATGATGGTCATCACTACCAGCACATGCTAGATCTCCAGAATTTCCATTGTACTCTTGGGTCTCTTTTGCAGATCTGAAAGGATATTCTGACTGGATGACATTATCATGCCCGTGAGCTGTAAAGCTAAAGAAAGACAGTTGTGTGGTTAAAGTAGTGGCTGACACCCAGGATATCTGGATTCAATTCCTGGCTCTGTCTTAGAGTTCCTGGGGAAGTCACTCTCACTGTGCCTAGGTTTCCCCTTCCATAAAATGGGGATAATATTTTCCTTCCTCAAAGAGGTGGTGTGAAATAAACGCATTAATGTTTGTGAGATGCTCAGATGCTGCAGTGATGAGGGCTACAGAAATGCAGATAAACAATTAAGCACTGTGGATAAACACTTCTTTTGCAGTAAAGAATAACATATTCATGACCTCAGCTCTTCTCCAAAGAAACCATGACATCACAAGAACAGAAAAAGGTAACTATTGTTAATATTGTAATATTTATTAGTTGTTGATCCACAGTGTGCTCAACACTGTACAGAGCAGGTAAAACGTAGACAGTTCCTGGCCCAGCCAGCTTACTCTCTACAGCTGATATTCACCTCCTGTGCAGAAGGCCTGTATCATAAGCCTGTAAACCACTTAATTCCACTTAAAGCCCTATTTTGAAAACTTAAGTGGTTCATGGGCTATGTTCAGGCCACTGCTCAGGAATGAATATCATCCCAAGTATACATTTCCGATACATAATGTTAACAAGGACTGAACTCTGCTCCCAGTGAAGTCAAGGCAAAACTCCTGTCGACTTCCATGGGTGCAGAATCAAGCTTCGTATAATCAGAAGATGGATTTATCACAATCAGTGCAGATTTGTTTTATTAAATATTACATCACTCCTTTATTTGGCAGGGTTTTTAGAAGGGACTTCAAACAGGAAAGGGTGGCAGGTATTAACAATAACACTTACATACAATTAATTTAAAATTCCACAGCCTATCTACATTATGAGTCAGAAAAAGCAAGACACAAATGTGGTGTTTAAATGTGAAGGAAAGGTTGCATATATTAACCTTTTATTTTGTATTTTGCAAGGACCCTTGTCACAAATTCAGCAATGGACTGTCATAAGACCTGCCATTTTACAGCCACCACAGTCTCAGATATGTGAGGAAAGAAGGCAGATGTGCACTGAAAATACACTGGCATCTTCCAAAACTAAAGAGAAAGCAAATATTCAGGTAAAAATGTAACTTCAATGTCAAATATACATGTCTGGGGGTTTTTCCATCGGCCTGAGCTCTAATAATATTTCACTGAAATTAAGTATTTTACAGAGAACTCTTCAGTATTAGTTTAATTCTGTTCCCATTGAAGTCAACAGGAGTTTTGCTTTTGACTTTAGTGGAGCAATTGTACCAATGCTGAGCGCTTTGGAAAATCCAGCCCTTGCTAAACTGCCCATACGGTTGCTTGATGAGTGTGCAGCTGCTGTAAACTTGTAATTCAATCTGAATTTGGGGTAGAGGGTTGGGAAAACATTACTTTCTAAGAATTTTTTAAAAAATCTGGTTAGGAATTGCACTGGCTTGCTTCACACAATAAACGTGGGCCTGTCTCTGCAAACCACCACATGAATGATCTTAACTCATGAAAGTGGACCCATCATGCATAGGCTTACTCTTGTCAGAAATACTTTCTCAAATGCATTTGGCTTTGCAGGCCCTAATTTCTGGTAAAACTATTTATAGTGCAAGATGAGCCAAAATTAATTTTTTCCAACATTTCCAATTGATCATATTAATCGTTTCCAGTTGTCTGAAGAGAACCCTCATTGCCCAGCAGAAAACTCAGCAAGTTCTGAGACAACAGTAAGGCCATCTATCTCCATGCATCTTTGTAGCCCTAAAACAATAGGGTAAGTTAGTCAAAGCATTGTGGTTTTTTTTCTGTGTATCTAAAGAATAGCATGTGTTCGGTTTTGTCCTCTGGCTTGTTGCTCTACATGTGTCTGTGTAGCTGTTAGCTGAAAAAAATGCACACATCAGCCAAAAAGGAAAAGAAGGTTTATAGGCAGATTATAACTTGAACTATATGCCTATGCAGGGGAGTAAGAACTTCCCCTTACACCTCTGCATGAGTTACCTGGACTTTAAGGGTATGTCTACCCTGTAGTATAAGCCCAGGCTTAGTGGGATTCAAGTCAGCTGACCTGTGTTGGAGAACCCAGGGCTTGAGTGTCTACACTGATTTTTAACCCTACCTTAAGAATTTTCTAACCTGGGCTTGAACTTGGGGCTCTGGCATCCACAATGCATCATATAGACCCAACTCAATCCATCCATATCCCAGACTCCCTAGTGCCCTCCTGAAATGTGGCCAGTCTAGCCCGTTGTCCATGGTACACTGTGGGAAAACTTTACTGCCCACCCTGCATGTTATAGGAAGGTTGAACAGCCCACCGACACAGCCAGATGAGCAACATGGAGGAGACCCGTTTTCAAGAAGTTGTCTGGCTTGCACTTTCACTCTTGAGACGGGAAACGGGCAGAGCTTCCATGAGGCACTGGTGGACATTTCGGCAATTTTTTCTGAGCCACCAAAAGCACGAGATGGACCAGGAGGAAGAGGTGACCCATTTCCCCCTGAATGGACCTATGACAGCAAGGGGTTGCTGAACACTCAGTCAGAAAGTGCACCTACCACAGCTGGAGCTAGATGCACACAGGCAACAGCAGTCAGGGATGCTCTGTGCTCCTATGTTATGGACTTCCATAGCCCCATGGAAGAGGGGGAATAGTACCTCTATGAATCTGCTTGTGGGAGTTAAGGGGCTAATTGATTTGGGGGTTCAGTACTTGGGGAAGGGTGGGGACTTGATTGTCATGCAATGTACTTATGAATGACATGCTGAATTATGAATTGGGGATAGAGTGGGGGATGATTCACAGTATGGATTCACATCAGGAAGTTATTGATGTGTGACTTGTTGTACCTAACTGTATAGAGGAATAGCATGTGTGTAGTAATTCCTAATTGTTCCTGATCATGTGTTTAGCTTTGTTATTTCAAATCATGATTGTATGATGAGATGCAGTATAGCAATAAACTTTCCTGATGACATAAAAGGCTTTATTTATAAATGTGTTAAAACACTGCAACGGTCACCCATTGCCACTAAAACACCGAAACAGTTACAAAAGAACATTTCCAAAACAAACAAACGAAGTGTATGAACCAGTGCAAACACAACAGAATCACTCTACCACTGCATGTCCCCTGGCCTCCGTTCTCCTTTCTCTTCTTTCCTTGTTTTCTGTGCACTTGGTGCTGAGGCGGAGATATCAACAGGAGAGGGGGCAAGATGGAGAGCTGCCAGGTGTTTAGTTGCCCTGCCCAGCTGCTTATGGGGCTGATTGCATGAGCCACCCAGATGTGGCATTTTCCAAGTTTTCTGGAGTGAGAATACGTCGCAGGGGAATCAGGAGATGGTGTGGGAGAGGCAGCAGGAGCCGATAAGCTTGCAGCCCTGATTGAGATGAGCTGCTCAAACAGTTCTCTCTGCTGAGCTCTCCTCCTCCTCCCTTAGCTGCCATTCCTGTTCCAGGAACTGTGAAGCAAGTGCCTGCTCCTTTGCTAAAACCCTGTCCTCAAGCTGTGCGGTGAGCCTCAGCCTTTCCTCCTGCCTCTTGGCATGCCTCTTCTCCAATGTTAAGTCCCTCTGCTTCTGGTACTGGACCTGCTGGTTGGCCCACTCGCTCAAGAACTTCGACCAAGATCACCACGGAAACACTCCTCTTGGAACAGTCTGTGGAGGTACGTTGGGCCAGGCTTGTACTGCACTGAGGTCGAGCTGTGGAGGGATAGCAGCCAGTAGAGGTCAAGGGGCCTGCAATAGGACAAGACACAGAAGGTTATTGTCGCAAATAGCTCACTGGAGGAGCACAGAATTAATGTTTGTGGAATTTCAAGGACATAAAATATGACATTCAAAACTGAACTGCAGTATATTGTGAAAGGGATGCTTCAGTCCAAAGAATCTCCCTGGGCACAGCCTGGTTAATCGCCATTACAGCAGTACACAGACAATGATATGTTAAAAATTCCAAGTTGCTTTTGTTTTACAAAAATGTCCTAACTACCTGTGTTGGAGGTGGGAGGACAGTCAGTGGCCTTACAACAAAAGGGTTTTTCTAACATTTCAAGTCTTTCCCATTTTGGAAGACATAACTGTGAGGCAAACCCAAACTAGGGCTGCTCACTCAGCTGCCCCGCCAATGGAGCTGAACTGTGTCACTGCTCAGGCATGCAGCAATAACCTAGCTTCACTGATTTACTTTTCCAGCAGTGAGTCAACCGTCAGGCAAGCAGCAGCAACCTCTCCCTGAGCCGAGCCTGGGTCAGATGACCTCCAGGCTCAGGTACTTCTCCAACCCTGCCAGAGCTGCAGATCAGTCTGTGAAATAGCACTACCTGGCCAGGAACCCTCCTGCTTCCTTGCAGTGTATCAGACTCTCGAGACTCCCAGGCGGCTCTTGATCCTGTTCCTGCCCCAGCCTTGCCTGAGCCCTGCTCCTGGTCCTTGCCCTACTCTGACCTTGCTCCAGCCCTGTTACCAACACGCTCCAGCCTTGCCTCCACCTTCTGACTTTCCCTGGACCCTTGGACTCTGACTACCCTGCTTTGACCTTTGGCCTGTGTCTCGACCCTGGCTATGGTACTGACTTGGCTTGTCCCTGGTCTCTGACCACCTGGCTTCAACCCCTGTCTTGCACCTGGACTTTGGCTCTGGTACTGATTCTGGCTGGTCTACAGCCTCTGATCTCGGTTCCGGCCCCAGCCTGTCCCTGGATCTTGAGACCAGTGCCACCCTTGGCCCAGGCCCAATGCTACGTCCAGCTTTGACCTCACTCCGACCACTAGGCCTGACTACTGGGAGGTAGTGCCTGACAATAACTGTTCTTGTGGTGCCCTATTGGCAAAGGGAGATGTTATTCTAAGCTGCTGGTGGAAAACCTGCAGTGTATACATCCGAAGTATTCAAATGAAAAGTGACTGAACAGCACATCTATGGTGGAGTGGGTTGATCAGCTACCGAGGTGGCCCTGGAAAATATTCCTTCTCTGCAATCTGACTACTTATCTGGAGTTCCTGCTTCAGGAAAAGTTTGCAGCTATCAGCACCCGGGAGTGGGTCAGAATCCATGAGGGAATCAACAGGATGCTTTGTTAGCTTCCACATGGCTTACAGAGCATCACAGCCTTCCCCCTCCCTGCCCTCAGCACATTTCTGAACAAAAATTCAAACCTTGGTCATACTTGGGACAAGTGATTTTGTCACCTATGGACTACCTGTCACTGAAATGGGCTAGTTTTGGAAGTGGAACACACTTCCCCAAACACACACAGAGAGTTCACTATTTCCAGGCAGCTCCACAGACTGTTGAGTGATTATAGAGCAGCAAACTTAAAGGCATGGCAATGTAATGTTGTTATTTTTAAGAAACAGGAATGGCCCTAGCAAAAATCTGTGCCTTTCTGGTAAAA